CTTCCCCAATCAAATTGCTCTTGAATGAAGGAGGGTTGTGGAATGTGCCTCATAAGTCATTGATAAAAAAAGAAAGGCGGGTGGGGTGAGGCGGGGGTAGGGGGTGGGGGGCGGGAATCTTGAATAGAGACTGGCTCCTTGCGACTGAATTTTTTAAACCAACTATAAAATATTTGACCTGATTAGACATTACTTTCATGGTAAACATCTCTGTTCAGTAGCTTTTGAGAGATTCTCTGGAAATTATTTCCTACCCCCATAAAAGAGTACTTAGATCAGTTAGGGGGTTTTGTTTTGCTTTGTTTTTTAGCAACTGGGTAAATAAGGAGCTCAGGTGAAACCGCTGTTAAAGCCCTTGGCTGGCTCAACCCCCACCATCCTATGGTCCTCAGAGGAAAAGATGGCAATCTGCTTCCATTCCAATCGGGAAAATTCATGTTCAAAGTTCTCCCCTGTTTTACCAGTCACTTTGATTCAAAATCAACTTAACGGTAATGAGTTGGTAGAGGCTTTTTGTTTGTTTGTTTTTGTTTGGTTAAGTAAGCACTGGTTTCTCAGAGCTTATGTTGGCCTAGAGCAGTGGTTCTCAATCTTCCTAATGCTGTGACCCTTTAATACAGTTCCTCATGTTGTGGTGCCCCAAACCATAAAAATTTTATTGCTACCTCATAACTCTAATTTTGCTACTGTTAGGAATCAGGTGGCCCCTAAAGGGGTCGCGACCCATAGGTTGAGAACCGCGGGCCTGGAGTATTGAAAAGCAAGGATGTTACTTTGAGGACTAAAATGCACCTGACCTAAGGGATGGTCTTTTCAGTGGTCTCCTATGCATGTGAAAGTTGGACATTGAATAAAGAATGATTCATTTAAATTGTGTTGCTGGTGAAGAATATTCAGAGCACCATGGACTTGTAAAAGGACAAACCAATCTGTCTTGAGAGACGCATGACCAGAGTGCTCCTCGAAGGCAAGGCTGGCAAGACTTCATCTTACATGCTTTGGACACTGTGCACAGGAGATCAGTCCCTAGAAGACATCGCACTGGGTAAAGCAGAGGATGGTCCTCTGTGAGATGGATTAACACAGTAGTTGCAACAGTGGGCGCAAGCATAGGAACAATTCAGAGATGTCACAGGATCAAGCACTTTCATTCTGTTGTGCATAGA